GAGGCCGCGGAGCCGCGGGCCCAGGACGGAGCAGGGGGAAGGGCCGCAGCAGGAGGTGAGGCGCCGGGAGCAGTTCCCACTGACCCGGGGCAGAGCTATCCAGGAGTGTCGGAGCCCCGTGCCGCCTGCGGCCGCGGAACCCGCCGAGCCCAGGACGAAAACGCCCTCGGGTCGGAAGCGAGAGCCCCCAGCGCAGGCGGTGCGTTTCCTGCCCTGGGCCACGCCGGGCCAGGAGAGCGCTACAGGGGTACAGACCTTGGAGAAAAACAGGGCGGGGCCGGAGGCGGAGAAGAGGTTGCGCAGAGGGCCTGAGGAGGACGGGCCCTGGGGGGCTTGGGACCGCCGAGGGGCCCGCAGCCATGGCAAAGGTCGCCGGCCACGGCCCACCTCGCCAGAACTCGGTAAGGCTCTCCCCGCAGACCAGGGGAGAGGGTGCAGTTTATTGGACCGGGGCTGGACCTCTAGGGAAGGGTTATCTCAGAACCTGCCTGCTGGCCAGGTAGCTGGGTGTATGGGTTGATGGAGGCGAGCTGAAGCTGAGGTGTGAGACAAGGCTGCACCATAGGTGCTGGCCCCAGGTCCCCCGGGTCCAGTGGCCTTCTAGGCAGGTCAGCCAAGCTTCAAATGAGGGGGAGGCCCAGGTGGGAATTCAAGGAGTCTCTTCTCAGCCCCACTGCTCCGTGGGACAGGGAATACTAGCTAGTCTCCATAAAGTGCACTTAGGTCCCTGTTAGAGGCAAGCCGAGACCAGCCTACTCTGTCCTGTGATCTCCTTCCCCACTCCACCCAACCCCTGGCCTGCCATGTCCTAGGCCAGGAAGATCTGCCTAGCGGTTCCCTCTGGCCCCCTCTCTCCCATCCTGTGGCCCTGTATCATGCCGGCTTCCCACAGGCAATGCCCCAAAGCCAGGATTCCCTCCCCTCACTCCTTGCCAACTCCAGAGCTTCTTAAACATTCAGCCCGGGGGCCCACCTTCTTGAGAGACAGAGGAAGCCAGTCCTGATAGGGCCTCTCTGCCTGCTGCTCCCTCCACTAGATCACTGTCCATGGCTCCTGTCACCCTCTCTGAATCGCTTCCATTGTACCCACCTATGTCTTCATGAAAATTATCTTCTCTCTCACTTAAATGTTAGCACTCCAAAATGTCTAGCAATGATCATTGTCCTACTGCTGCTGGTAGGTACTGTCAAGTCTGTTCTGCCTCATAGAGAGCCAGGGTACAGCAGAACCAAATACTGCCCGGTGCTGGGCCTTTCTCACCCTAGTTGTCTGTTGGCGTGCGTGGTGACAGCCACAGTGCCCATGCATCTCAGTGAGGGTCTTCCTCGTCTTCGCTGACTCTCCATTTTTCCAAGTATGATGTCCCTAACACGTCCAACGTACACGAGCCTAAGTCTCCACATTCTCACTTTCCAGGAGCGTTTTGGCTATACTTCTTTCAACACAGAGTGGTTCGTTCCTCTGGCTGCCCACAGCACATCCTCTGCTCTTGACCGCTCCCCAATGCGCCTTGTGCAATGTCTACGGCTTCGGTCAGATGCACCTTAGACTTCAAAGTGACTTCTCAGCTCTCTCACACATAAAAGAGAGCTTTTTGCAGCAGATCATGCTGCTCGAAGCCATTATTGGTTATATACAAGGCATTCTAAGAACCAGGCACCCGGAAGGGTTATCTTATCCCAAACTGCCTCCCAGCTTTGCAAGCTCATGGCTGCTATTGGCTCCATTTTACAGATAACCAAATGGAGGTTTGGAGAGAGGATCAAGTTTGTGCCCAGCTAGAAGGGGCAGGATTTGGATTTCTGCTGCCACTTGCTAACCGCGCCAGCCTCTTTTAACCGTGTCCGTCGGCAAGTACCGGCAAGCCAGTGGCTTGTTAGGTGCTTCCTGTAAGCCAGGCCTGTCTTATTGCCGTTCAACCTTCCTGCAACCCTCCCTACCGATGCCGAGCGTTCCTGTGAAAAGGACAGAGGAAATCGAAGCGGGTCTTTGTAAGGCCTGCAGGGTGCTGGGTGACACCCACCCACCCCCTCATCCTCTCTGACTCCAGTGGTCCCTTGCCATGTCACAAATGGGACAGTTCCCCACACGCTGTCCTCTGACGCCTGTATTCTTGCCTAAGTCTTGGGCCGCTATCAGCTCATCCTCCTATCTTTGTCTTTTCTCTCAGATCATAAGCACTCGTGACCCTCAACGTGTCTTGCAGGGGCGGGGGCGGGGAGCCCCCCCCCCCCGTCTAGTCGATCCCCACTCGCAGAAACCATGGAGGACAGAGTAGAACTGCCTTATAGAGTTTTTGAGGCTGTAACTCTTTATGGAGACAGACTGCCCCCATCGTTCTCCCACAAAACGACTGGTGGATTCGAACCTCTGACCTACTGGTTAGAGCCGAGTGCATTAAGGACCGTGCCACCAGGGCCCCTTTTGTGCCTTGCACAGGGCCTGGTAGGTCTGCATGGTGACGGACTTCTATTCAGAAGTACACCACGCAGCCCCTGCCTTTCTCTCGAAGTGACATTCGAGCTATGGCTGGAGTCGAGGCACAGCTGAGCTAATGCGACGGGGCCACAGCCACCCTGCCCCGTGGAAGAGCCCTGCTCTGCCCTCACTTCTTCTTCGTCCATCACGGGGCACTCAGGAGAGAGCCCCTCTTTCCCCACCCCGGCCTTCAGGAAGCCCCACTCTTTGGATGTGGCTCTCTAGGAGGAGTGGTGGGTGGGCTGCCACTGCCTCCTCACAAGGCCCATGTCCCATGGCTTACCCTGTGACCCGTGTCTTGGGCAGAGTCTTCGGACGACTCCTATGTGTCAGCTGGAGAAGAGCCCCTGGAGGCGCCCCTGTTTGAGATCCCCCTGCAGAACGTGGCGGTAGCCCCAGGAGAAGATGCGCTGCTCAAGTGTATTATCACAGCCAACCCCCCGCCCCAAGGTGAGCTCCAGGGCTGGGCCAGGTTGAGGTCAAGCGTGGGGTGGAGGGGGCGTTCGAGCCAGAGAGCATCCTCTCAGGGACAAGGAGTTGAGTTTGTTCTGTTCCTGGGGTCTGGTGACTGTGTGTGTGTGTGTGTATGTGTGTGTGTGTGTGTGTGTGTGTAAAGATTTGATTTCCCTAGGGTGGGAAGCACAGTGCCCTGGGTTCTTGTGGGACACATGTGTGGACTGGAGATTGTCCCCAGCGGGCCCCCGTGGCCCAAGGCCAGCTGGTTCACCCATTGCTTCCCCACAGTGTCCTGGCAGAAGGATGGGTCAGCACTGGGAAGCAATGGCCGCTTGCTCATCCGGGCGGAAGGCGAGAGGCACACCCTGCTGCTACGGGAGGCCCGGGAGGCTGACGCCGGGAGCTATGCGGCCATCGCCACCAACGAGCTGGGCACAGCCCGCTGTGCGGCTGCCCTGGCTGTGAGACCCGGTAGGGAGCCCGTCACCCTTGGGCGGAGTGGAGAGTGGTGAGCAGGTAGCATCCAGATGGGGCTGAGACGGAAGCTTGGGCGCAGCTTCCTTTCCTCGGCCTCAGGGCCCTCAGCCAGTCTGCAGTCTGCCCTGAGGTCAGGCCTGGGGTGAAGGCATTAAAATGACCTCACTACAGGGGCCCAGTTCCCGAGGCAGACAGCAGGCGGGCCAACTCCTGAGATCACTGAGGTTGGCCATCGACATCTTTCCAAGGCAAGGTGCTTCTGGGACAGTCTTGTGGGGAGAGCAGGTTGTCCTTCAGCCTCCGCTCACAGGACTTACTGGTCAACAGGCGCCTCCTGGGGTCATTTCCGCTCACTCGAGGTCCAGCCCACCCAGGGAAGAGAGGTGCTCCCATCGCCCCCTGGGACTCGCTGCAAGGAGGGCTCAGTAGAGAGTGGCTCTTGGGAGATGGCGTGGCCGTGGCTGCCTTGCTTTCTATTTTTACGTGTGCCCTCACCTGGAGTCTGACAGCTTCCTTTGGCTGTGTGCCCAGCCTCTTCCTGGATCAGGACAGATTGGACCCGTACCCATGGACACGGCCAGTTTGACGCAGGCAGGATGCTGGACCCTGGGCTGTGGTGTGGGGGTGGGGTGGGGGGGACAAAGACAGAGACTCATCCCTCAGGCCTGTTCCAGTTGGGTGACCAAGGCCATGTCAGAGGACCATGCGGGGCAGGGGAATCACGGTGGAGCAGTGCTTGGGGGGCTCAGGGAGGGGGCACCTCAAGGGATTGGTGAAACTGAGGCTTCTCTGCTCCCCAGTAGGTTGGGACTTAGTCTGGCAGGGGAGGGACAGGGATTTAGATGGGCAGGGGAGGGGCGGGACAAGGTGCTCTGTCCCGTCCTCACGCTCAGCACCGCAGGGGACAAGAATACTACCACAAGAGTCTCAGTTCCATCACAAGGGGGCAGTTCGTTGTGGTGTCAGGTCTGAACCCCAGTCCTATGTGGATTCCTTTGGATGGCCCCCTCGGGGCTTTGAGGGGCAGCAGGTCTTGCCCGGGATTCGTCCTCTCTGCTTATCCTCATCCCTGAGCCAAGCCGGCACTGAATCATACTGGTCCCTCCTGTGCATGCCTCCGTCCTTCCATCACCTTGGGGATCTGGCCTCTGACTCATCTCCCTGCACCCCTTGGGGACCCAGGCCTGGCTCTGGGACTCTAGTCAATACCTGGCTAGGGCTGACAGTCGGCAGTGGGGTGGAGGGGGTGGAGGTAGGCGTAGGGAGTGCCCCCGTGCTGGCTGGCACAGGGCCATTTGAGAGCCTTTTAAGGTCGGGCAGGAGGCCTGGGATGAAGCAGCTGTCAGCGCTTGCCTGGGAGTTCTGTGTTTGCCTGGAGCTGCTGCTGCTGCCGCCACGGCTGTGCCATTTGTAAAGCAGAGATAATTATACCGTCCTCACGGCTGAAGGCGAACGTGTGAACCACGCTTTATGAACTGCGAAGCTATAGACAAATGTTGGTTGTTAACGTTATTAAGAGGTGATGCTTTTCCTTCTCTGCTCTCTCTTCAGACTCGCTGCTCCTTGGGGATGCCACCCCTGCCCTGCAAGGCCCCCAGCCCCTCCCGTAATTCCTAGGCTCCGTGTCCCCTGCCCTTCCCGCATCTCTGTGCCTCATCCACCCAGGGGAGCAAGGCAAGCAGGCAGGCAGGCTGCAGGGCATTAGTCACTGTGCCAGGCATTGCAGCTACCACGCAGCCCCCGTAAGCCAGGCCGGCTGGCCTGAGGGGCAGGCGCATGGGGCCAGGCTCAGCCTCGGCGGCTGAGTTTCTTACCCTACAAGGCACTGTTTGGTCCAGAGCAGCTGGACAGGGGCCCGCGGACCCGTGGAGCTGCAGGGATGGGTGGAGCCAGTGGGTGGCACGAACATAGGGGAAGGAGGACTCCCGGGGTAGGGGAGGTGTCTGGCAGTAAGGCTGCGGGTGGGTGGGGAGAAAGTCGAGGGAGGGAGTATGTGGTGTCATGTGGAATAGGCCCCTCGGGAAGTCACTTCTCCTCTTGCTTCTCACTGTCTCCTTGCCCACTCCCCCATCCCCCCAGTACCATGGTAACCAGGGCTGGCTGCCCAGCGCCCTCTTGGGGTGCCACCCGATAGGAACTAGGAACGAGCCTGCTTTTCAGAGCCACTGTGATCCATGCCATGTAGGGAACCATGGAAACGGGCTGAGAACTAAGGGGTGTGGCTGCGGTTGGGGAGGGGGGTGTTGGGGGCCGTGCCTGTCTGTGTGGGCAGGGTCTGGGCCTCACCAACTTCCTAAGTCCCACTTCCATTCCTCCCAACGCTCCTGAGCGAGCCCCAAAGGGTATGTGGACAGGTGGGTGGGTAGAGAGAGTGAGATGTGCTAACGGCAGTTAAGTGTCCTGGCACTGCCTGTATACATCAGCCTGGCTTATTGAGTGCCTCCCCCCACCCCTGGTGCCAGGTGCTTCATTGCTCTACACAGCCCTCCTGTTTGGAGAGTGCCAGGGACTTGCCCCCAACCATTTAGAGTCTCTTCCCTCCTTGGAACCGCATCACCCGGCAGAGATCCCCGGGAGGGATGTGTACTCCCACTTCACAGATGGGAAAACAGAGAGAGAGAGAGAGAGAGAGATGGAACTAGGGCAAGGCCAGCAGCCTTTCGTGAGTGTCTGTGATCTGTCTGGAACGGTTAGGAGCCTCACGTGAGTTAGGCAGCAGATGTGTCCACCCAGGAGGTGGATGGGCCTGGCGGGGCTGGAAGATCAGCCTGTCCTGGGTGTGGGGGTTACTGAGGGCGACCCGGGGCCAGCCCTGTGGTGACATCCTCATCACAGCCCTTCAAGGCAGGCTCTGTCGTCACGACCGAGTTGCAGACCAGGAAGGAGGCCCTGGTGGAGCAGACAGTTAAACATTTGTCTACTAGCTGAAAGGTTGGCAGTTCGGGCCCACCCAGAAGCACCTGGGGTGGCCAGCCTAGCGACGAGCTTCTGGACAGCCCCAGGGAGCAGGTCCACTGTGCACATGAGGGGTCACCAGGAGTCAGTAACCCTCACACCCAAGACAGGCTGATCTTCCAGCCCCATCAGGCCCATCCACCTCCTGTGTGGACACATTTGCGGCCTATCTCAGTGGCCATGAAGGCATCCTTGGGGAAACGGCCTTGGACAGCTTGGGTTCCTTGTCTGGTCCAGGGGTCGGCAGACCGGCTCGCACGCCGTTTGTGACTCTGGCACGTGCACGGTGGCACTGAAGTGAAATGGAAATATTTTCAAAGGATGTGATTCAGATCATGATGGTCTCATTTGTTTGAAAGAATACGTGTATGGCTCTCGGATTATTGTTAAATCGTTGTGAGGTTCAGGATTGGCTCTGTGTCTCAACAGTCGGCCTCCCCTGGCCTAGAGCAGCCCCAAGCCCTAGAAGGTCCTGGGATGGCGGCAATGTGCTCGGTCAGTGTGCACTGTTCCAGATGTGGCAGTCAGCACCTTGGAGCCCATGCTATATGGCAGAGGAGACTGAACTTCACTGTGGGCATTGCACTCTGTAAGAGTCTCTGGTGGCCCGGGGCCACCCTGCAGGATGCCCGCTGAGCCTCCAGACAGAGCACAGGGCCTGACGCAGCTGCAGACCTGCCGGGGAGCCCTGGCGCTGGGGCTCCAGAGCCAGTGCTGCTGACTGTTGCACTGGGTCGACTCCGGGCTGCCCAAGAACTGGCTGGGAGGGCGAGGCAGGGACGCCCACAGCCCTCTGGGGGCAGGGTGGGGGTGTCCTCGCTTTGGCCCTGCTTTGTTTCTGGGCTCACCCCCACTGCAGGGGCTCTGACGGGAGGCCCTGTGGGTGCCTGTGAGGAGGAATGGGAGCGGGGGGAGGACACCCCATCTCCATCCTCCTGTCTTCCCTCCTCCCTCTAGCTCAGGTCCCACGTGCTCGTATGTGAGCCTGAGTTTCTAGTATTCACTCGTTGCACCCCTGTCCTCCTCATGGACGGCCGCCGGCCACCCTCATCTTGGACAAAGGTGAGGCCCGTTTCTGCACCTGCACTGCTCAGCCGCCGCCATCAGTGAGCACCCGTATAGGGGTGTTGCACCAAACCCCTGGCCTCTCTCCCATTGCTCAAACTCCAGCCCACTGTGGCCAGATAGATTCTGACTCTGTGTGGCGTCGAGGAGTTTCCCAGGCTGGGACCTTTTGGAAGCAGCTCTCCAGATCTTGTTTCCGTGGCACCTCTGGGACGGGAGAGGACAGTGGAACCACCAGTGTTCCAGTTAGTGACCCAGCACCCAGCTCTGTCACCAGGGACACACAGAGGGAAAGAGGCTGTCTAGAGGGGCCGTGAGCACAAAGGTAGGGGAAGAAGGTTAAGACCCTGCCATCTGCTTCGGACTCTAAGGACTTAGGCCAGGCCTGGTTGGAGGACCCCTTTGTGGTGGCCGTGGTGGGACCTTGGAATGCCACATGGCCCGTGTTGTCCATCTGGGGTTTAGACACATCTTTGACCAGAGCTGCACTCCCCCCCAGAAGCAGGCCTGCCACGACAGGTGGGCGCTCTCCCAAGAGGAGGCTGCACCCCAGAGGCTGCACCCCAGAGGCCCTGCCTGTTGCTGCTGGGAATGCTTCCTGGGACACCAAGCAGCTTGGCATCATCACACCCAGGAGAGTCATTCAGCCCTTCCCCTCCAGGTCAAGCTGACCCCCTCAAAGCCTCTTGAATTTGTACATTCAATTCTAGAGTCTAGTACGTTTTCAGCCGGCTCAGAAACATTCCCGGCACACCTCATCTCTTCGTCCACGGGGCCCACACACACCCAGCACCCTGTAGAAATTCCCACCCACCAGCTGATGGTTAGCATATGACTGCTCACCTGGAGGTTGGCAGTTTGAACCTACCCAGTGGTACCACGAGAGAAAGGCCAGGGGGATCTGACATGCTCTACGTCTTACTCCTTCGGCCCAGTCTATGGCCAGGCTAACACTCGCGTGCGCGCGCACAGGCACATACACACACTCACAATTTTTTCCCTTTCTAGTATTTGCAATGTTTCTTCTGCCTGGAATGTTTCCGCTTCCTAATGCCACTTCTTCCCTGCAGTTCCCTCTTCTCTGAGTCACAGGGAATCTCCTGCCCTCTGAACTCCCATAGCCCGTATCTCCTCTGCTCTCAGATCCTCGTATCACTTCGCTTTTATAGTCAGTTCTGTATCTGGCTTGTCTGAATCTCCCTACCAGCCAGGGGCCTCTGAGGCCACCGCTGGGCCCGCCCACTCTGTTCACTTTGTGGCCCAGACTTCCTGACAGTCTGCACTGTGTGAGGCGGCCGTGGGTGGGTGAGCTCCCCATGACTTCCCCAGTGCCCTGGCGGCTGTTGGACCAATATGGGTGGTCATACAGAAGCTGGGTGAGACACCCCACTGCACAGGGTAATGAGCATCTGCCTACAAGTGAAGATGACATGGCAGAGGGCCTCGCCGTCTTTCAGCAGCCTCATCTCATCCTCTTGTGAATATGTTAGAAAGGAAAACGGTTGGTCTGAACCTCCCAGATCTATTGAATGAGTAACTCTGGGAGGGAGGCCCAGGAAACCCCATTTTAACCAGCCTTCCAGGTGATTCTGATGCACAGGAAGAACTGAGAACCACTGCCAGAGACCTAGTGTCCTTGCCCAAGGTAAGCATCCACGTGGTGCAGCGGGGGCACATGGGCTGTGGAACCAGGCCTCCTAGGTTCAAATCTCTTGCTCCCAAGTTTAATGGCTGAGTGAGATGGGATTTGGGGGTACAAGCTCATTGGGTTGTCAGCTTCCCATGAGAACCAAAGAACAAGCACACTGCTGTTGAATCCATTTCGACTCACAGTGACCCTCTATAGGGTTTCTAAGACTCACTCTTTACTAGAGCAGGCAGCCTCGTTTTCCTCCTATGGAGTGGCTGGTGGGTTTGAACCACCAATGCACAGTGCGTAACCCACAGTGCATCTTTCTCTGGTGGTCAACCCCCAAATCTGTTACCGTCAAGTTGATTCTAACTCATAGTGACCCTCTGTTGGGTTTCTGAGGCTGTAAATCTTCATGGGGGCAGTTGGAGCTTCATCTTTCTCTCTCTAAGCAGCTGGTGGCTTTGAACTGCTGACCTTGTGGTTAGCAGTCCAAAGCTTACCTGGCAGTGCCATCAGGGCTTCCTAAATGTTTGTGAGTATAAGAATACGCGGAGATAATCCCATTTTGGGAACTCTAATTAGGAGGTCAGAGTAAGGCTCAGGAATGAATGCTTGAACTTCCAGGTGATCCTGCTGTGAGAACCCCTGGGATGAAGTGGGTTGTGTAATGTGGCGTCTCTGTTGTGGATACTTGGTGTGGTGGCTGCTGTGTGATGATGGCTAGCATGAGAACCCCTCAGAGGATGCTGGGAACCGCCCAGTGCCCAAGTCACTGGCCTGAGTAAGGAGTTCCCTGGTCACTATGGTTCAGGACTTGGAACTGGTTCAAAAGGTCCAGTCATGGCTAGCAGAAAGGATGGTGGGCACGGGACATAACCAAATCTCCTGGCAGATTTTGACCCAAGTAGGAAACAGGCAGTGGCTGTCCAAGCAGTGTGTGTGTGTGTGTGTGTG